TACTCATTTTGGTGGTAAAAAGATTTAGAAATAAGGCAGGTGCCCATCACTTGACATACAGCTGAAAAACTCTTTTGGGGGGGAGGGGAAAGGGAGTACAGGGGGATCTATGATTTAATTGGGATACTGAATCTTTCTAAGAATCCTGCATTTACCAATGCAGATTGACACCTGTTCTGAATTCAGTTCTTAGAAAGTTGTCCAAGGTACTAAGATGTTAAGAAAAATCCAAAATAAAAAAGTTACATAATAACTTTATTATATAATTAAAATAGCAAGTTGTACATAACAGGTTTGCAGTTTTATGTGCAATCATCTTTTTTCTATTCTACTATGTTATAGAAATGCTTGTTTTATTTTTAAGTTCAGAATAAAATAAAAAAGAAAGAGATTAGCCCAGGATCACACAGCCATCATCCGTCAGAGGTGGGCCTAGAATCTATATCATCTTAACTCTCAGACCAGCTCCTTAGCCATAATTCCATACTGGCATTGTGAATACCATGTAATACTGTTCAGTAAGAAATGATGAGTATTAGTGAAGCCCCTCTTTGTGAAGCCAGTGAGGGGGCTTAATATAGGTTTGTGGTCAAGTCTAAGGCTTTTGGTTTCAGGCTCCCTTTTGACCTTCCCTCATTTGTTATGGCCCCTTCTTTATAGCAAAAACTCACTCAAAACAAAAATTAGCTTATCTGGAAACAAAATTCTTTATAAAAATACAAACAGCAAATGAACAAGGTTTAAATAGAGCAGGATACTCCCAAGGATAGCAATGCCAGTTGGCCAGGCAGTCATGGGCCAGGGGAGAGAAAGCAGAAAAGTGGTAACTTCACCATGCTCCGCAGTGTAACAAGCAGATAATCCAGGACAACAGCAAAATCTGCACAGATAGTTCATTCCTTAAGTGGGTCATTGAGTCAGACAAGGCTCTAACTGCTCATGATTACATTCAATTAGGGCTAACAGCTCCTCTTGTCTATGCAGTATACAGAACAACCTGGGCTTCCCCTGTCCCTCCCTCCTCCCATTGTCATTCAGTCCCTCCTTCCAGTTCATAAAGATCTACACTTGCCATCTGCTCCCTTGCTAATAAGAAGCTACTGGAGGAATTCAGAGAAATATGGGCAGATTGTGTATAAACAGATGCAGAATGAAACAGGCAGAACCAAAAGAACCTAACACACGACTGCAACAATTAAAAACAAAATATCCCTAATGGGAAACAATGTATGCATTGTGAGCCGTGATCAGGTATTTTTCCATTGGGTTTTCTTTTGGTTTTTTGTCTAGGCAATGGGGTTAAGTGACTTGCCCAGGGTCACACAGCTAGCCTGTGTCTGAGGCCACATTTGAACTCAGGTCCTTCTGAATTCAGGGCCAGTGCTCTATCCACTGCACCACCTAGCTGCCCCATTTTTCCATTGTTTTTGCTACAAGGAAGTATTTTAATCTAGTTGCAGGTGGGGAAAGGAAGGAATATTTCTCCTTAGAAATGATTTAATGAAAAAAAGGCAAAAATAATACAAGGGGGAGGAGAGGAGGCAGAAAGAGAAGGCATTTTAGGGACTACTAGATGGCATGGTGGATAGAGTAATGGACTTAGAGTCGGTAAGACCTGAGTTCAAATCCTGCTTCAAATACTAACTAGTTGTGAGACACCCAGGCAAGTCAGTTAACCTTTTTCAGTCTTAGTTGCTACATGTGTAAAATGCAAATAATTACAGCAACTACCTCACAGGGCTGTTGCAAGGATCAAATCAGAATACAGATAAAGCAATTTACAAACCTTAAAGTGCTCTGTAAATGTTAGCAATCATCCTGGAAGCAACAGGGAGCCACAGAAACTCCTTGGAAGGATGGAGATACTGATGTGGTCAAACAAGTGCTTTTTAAATGTAGGACCCTTTTCCATATCTCCCTTAAGGCTACTAGTGATCATTTCCAATTTATCCTGCCTATTTCTTGTTTATACATAGTTATTTTCTTATCCCCCCCAATTAGATTGTAAGCTCCTTGAGAGCATGGATTGTTTTTGCTTTTTATTTTTGATTGGTTAGGGTTTGGTTTTGGTTTCTGTACCTCCAACGTTTAGCACAGAACCTGACTCATAGTAGGGTCTGAATAAAGGAAGACTTAACAAATCTGGAAAAACTCAGGCAAGGGAGTATTGGAGAACATTTTAAAGAAACTGAACTTGACAATCAGGATAATCCTTCATGTCACTATAATAGTTCTTCATCATCCTCATCCTTAGAAATGAATGCTTGCTGCAAATCAAGTCTGATTACTTTCAGCCAGCTCATATTTATAATTCCAACTTTAGTTTTCTCCAGCAATGTTGACTGTGGGCCCTTGAGAAGTGTAGGGTTTTGTTTATTTGTTTTTCACTGTGTCAGCCACCTTTCTTCCATGATCTGAGTTAACAAAAAAGTCCACACCATACAAAAATTAAAGAAGGAAATACATCAAGTAACAGGAGTGGTCGAGAGAAAAAGGTCTTTTGTTCTGAACTGACATGAGAGTCTATATCTCTCATTATCCAAGGCAGTGTGACTCTGAGAAAAGAGATGTGGATTTGGAGCAGAGTCCCTGGGTTCAAATCCTGTCTTCACTAGTTACTGCCTATGTGACCTGGAATAAGTAACTTCATTGGGCTTTCATCTGTAAGATAGGGTGGCTTGGAGTGAATGACCCACTAGTTCAAGCTCTGGGGCCATGAGCATGAAAAATGGCTGTGTTTTAGCCCTGCTCCTCTATGGACCACCAGCTGCAACAGAAAGAGGAGCACTGGCCTTGGAATCAGAGTACCAGGGTTTGAATCGCGTGGATGCCCACTGTCTGCATGACCTTGGACAATTCACTTAAACCTCTGTGGACCTGTGTATAAAAAGAGGAGGCTGGGGCAAATGGCCTCCGAGGTCCCTCCCAGCTTGACTCCAAGACATTGCAGCAGCTCAGCTGTCATTCTCTTTTTGGCCTTCAAGCTAGCACCGAGGGCCAGGCTTGGCCCTTCCCCTTTTCTGGCTGCTGCCATACAGTCCTAAATGGGTACAGACCAGAACACTGAGAGCCTTAGCCTATTGTCCTACACCAAGTTGTCTGAAATGAGCAGGAAGGTGTTACTCCTGAGGAGAGCAGAGGCAGCATCCAACAGCTGAGTAAAAAGAAATCCTCAGAAGCTATCTCATAAATTGTAAAATGACTGGACGTGTTCTGAACCATTGATAGGAAGGCAAATGCCAGCTCTTGAGTCAAATTGGTTCTAGGCTTGCAAATAAAATGTAAGAAAGGGGTTTTTTAAGGAGGTAATGAACCAAGAGAAATAAGATTAATTGTCTGTAGGACAACGGACTAACTTTCGAGTCCTCCATCCCGACATCCCAGACACTGAATAATCATTCCAGACACGAGGTCAAACGTCGTTTCTGTACAGGAGACAGTCCTTCGCGCCCTCATTTCTCTCCAGCGGCTTGTTTTTCCTCAGCGTTTTTCACTGCTGTGTGACCAGAATTGGGGAGGGAAGAGAAGGGGGAAAGCTGCCATGCACTAGACAAGGGCATCCTTTTCAAAGGTCATTTCCTTAATTACTCATTACTTCAACAGGTAGATTTTTTTAAAAGCTTGTTTTAAATATTCTTGCTGTGTCTTTGTCCCCATTCCCTGTATTTTCATAATGCTCCAGAGGTTTGGAAAGTTCCTGAAGCTCCAGATATATATACACAGTCTTAGCCCTCTGAGTTGTCTGTGCCTGGAAACTCCCCATCACCCAGGTCCGCTTTTTTCTGATGTAGGATCATTTCCAGTGAAAAGAGAATCCCTTCTTCTTCAAGATTCTTGTACCTGTATACTGCGTTTGTGTGTGTGTATGTAAAAAGTGCCCATGTCCAGAAACCCAAGGCTTGTGCCTATATTGTGGGTGTGTGTTTATACAGAGATGAAGAGGGACTCTTCCTTTCCTTTCTTTTCTAACAAGGATTTAACATAGTTTGTGCTGCCCTTTCCCCTTCCTACTCAGTCTGTTTCCTCCATCCCCCAATCTATTTCTCTCAGGATATGCATTTTCCTAGTCATTCAATGCCATATACTAGTCCCAGCTCTCCTTAAAATCAGAGCCCAGGAGATTTTCTAGACTCTAGCCTAGAGAAACCCATCCCACCTCCCCCAGCTCTCCTGCCCAATCTCTCAGCACTAGGCTCGATGCTTGCCAGTTCCCAGCTTTCAGTTCTGTGGCTGAAGAAGAAATGAAGTTGCCTTTTCTCCAGAGAGATCACCATGTAGGGCTAGCTCTGGACAAGAGGCAAGGCCCCGTACTCCAAGCATCTCTCGTCCCTAGGCTCAGCAGCCTGGAGGACTGGTGTCTCCACCACCTGTTTCTCTACATCTCTGATTTCCCACTGAAATACCACCCCTTCAAGACAGCTTCGGGGTTGGACATCCTTACTGGGTTAACCTCATCTCTCTCTCTCTCTCTCTCTCTTTCTCTCTCTCTCCTCTCTCTCTCTCTCTCTCTCTCTCTCACACACACACACACACACACACACACACACACACACACACACGCACACACCCTCTCTTCTGAACTTTCTCAAGAGCCCAGCATCTTGGTGAATAGCACAGATGTCAGCAGCGTCGAAAGGGAAAGGTGCTGAGCATCCCTGCCTTCCAAGCAACACGTTGGAGGCACCAACTTTTCAATCTCTTTTCTAAAGCAAGCCTTTGGATCGGGGGCTGGGGGCTAGGGGAGAAGGATGCTTGGCGACAGAGCTCTTAAGTCCTGGATGCCGTTGCCCAGTGGGCTCCACCTGCCTGGCAGAAAGGGTCCTGGTAGCTAGAACCCAGAAAGGGAGAGGACCAGATTCCCGCGATTGGACAGTCTCAGCCCAGGGGAAAGGGCGGAGGAAATTCGAGAGGGGGCATTAGACCCAAACGAAGTCCCTCCTGGACCCTGCCCAAGCTCTGCGCAGACTGAGTGGAGGGTGGCACAGCTCAGGAGCACTCACCTTTCCCAGCGGCAGCTGCCTCCGATCTTCTTCCGCAGGGAACTGGGGGGAGGGTCACCCTAACTTCTCCTCCCTTCCCCCGCTGCCATCTTCCCGGGGCGCTAGGAACTGAACCTGGAGTGGAGTGGAAGGGGGTGCGCAAAGTTGCCTGGGCGGCTCCCGGTGCCTCCGGGGCTCCAGCTCATGCCCACTCTCTGGGGGGCTGAGGAGAGCCCCGCTGGAGTAAGATAGAGACCTTGGCAAGGACCCGGGTCGAGCTTCACTGTGCGTCTCAATGAGCCGGTGAGCCAGTTAGGGAGAGAGGAAGGAGCGAGCCAGCCAGAGCTGCGCGCCTCTGCCTCTGCCTCTGCCTCTCTGCCTCTGCCTCTGCTCTGCCGCCGGGCGCCTCTGCCGGGGGACGCGAGAAGCTCGTGCAGGAGGGCGGCTCCGAGGAGGGAGGGGAAGGAGAGAGGGAGGGAGGGATGGAGGGAGAGAGAGAAGGATGGAGGGAGGGAGGAGAGCGGAGGAGGAACGGAAGGCGGCAGCCTAGTCGGGGAGGCCGTCCGCGAAGGGCGACCACCCCGGAGAGCAGCAGCTCAGGAGGGATGGGCTGAAGGACGGACGGACGGACGGACTGACCGACAGACCAAAGGAATCGCGAACGGCGGCGGCGGCCAGCTGGGCTGGGTGGGCTAAAAATAGCAACCCCGCGGAAAGCGGGGGGGAGGGGGGAGGGGGGAGAGGGGAGGAGGGGGGGAGAGGAGAAGAGGGAGGGGGGAGGGAAAGAGGGAGGGGGAAAGAGGGAGAAGGGGGAGGGGGAGGAGGGAGGGGGGAGGTGAGCGGGGAGAGGAAAAAGGAGAGGGGAAGGGAGGGAATGGAGTTCAAGCCCCGCCCTGCCCTAGCGGTGTGGCCTTTACACCAGTCTGGGGAGGCTTGGGGTGGGGTGCTAGCCTGAGGGGCCGACAGGGGTACATTCCCAGGGAGTCCCGGACTAGGAAGCCCAGCCCTAGCCCGGAGGGGCAGAGGAGGGAGAGGGAGCACGGAGTGAGGATTGAGGGGAGGTTGGGGATGCTCTGAGACGGACTGATTCCCAGAGAAGAAATCCGGCAGCCAAAGCCGGGTCGCGTGTAGAGCGGCAGGTGGGAAGGGGGCTGGGCATGGATGCAGACGAGAAACGAGTGGGGAGTTGGGGGTGGATGTAGACCAGACACTGGGGGGTGGAGCTAGGGAAAGTGTAAACGAGAGACTGGGTACTGTGTGCTGGGGTCAGGTGTAAACCACAGACAGTTTGGTTTAGGGCGGGTGAAGACAAGAAGCAGATAGGAAGGCAGGTTTAAACGAGAGGTGGAGGGAAGGGGGAAGGTGAGTAAGGGAACTTGGAGGAAGAATGGGTGGGTTCTCCCGAAATGGAAACGCGCTGGGGACCCGACTCTCCTCTACTCCAGGTGCGAAGGCAGAGACGCTGCTGGTCCGCACACCTCACCGCTTAGCCTTGGCAGCTGCTGCTAGGGGGCGGGGTCCACAGCCAGGTGTCCACAATCTGGGGCCAAACTCAGGCCTTTCCCTTCCCCCTCCTCCTTCTTCCCTCAGTAGATCATGCACCTTCCCACCCCTTTAAAGCTACAAACCAAGAACCTGTCTAGTGAAACTGCTTTGTTGGGGTTTTTTTTTAACTAAAGACAAGTTGGAAGAAACCCTCCCCACTCTCCAGTCCACCCCCCAACACACACACACACACACACACACACACACACACACACACGTTCTGCCAGCCAGCCCGATCACCTCAGTAGCAGTCTTCATTCGAAGCCGTCAACCTCTGGCCCACCCTGGGGTCACTTGTCCCTAGAGGTGCTGCTGAAAGGGGCATAGGAGAGACAGGAAGATGTTTGGAGGTCACAGGGTTCGGAGCTGGAAGGGACTTCGGAGGTCACCCTCTTTAACCTGATCATTTTACAGATAAGCAAACTGAGGTTCCAAGAGGGAAAGTCACATATAGGTTCCTAGGATAAGAGCTAGAGGCCTTCGAGATCATCCATGTCCACTTTCCTAATTTTACAGTTGAAGAAATGGAGACCCAGAAAGGGGAGGTAATGGGCAATGATGGTTCAAGTAGCAGAATCTCAGCTCCGAGGCTGTGCCTCCCAATCCATTGCTCTTTTCACTACATTCCTGGGCCTTTCATTTCCTAGGACTCTTTTTGTCTATGATCTGTAATTTGTATTTCTATATTCACCTTACCCTTAGCTCAATGGAATTTACAATTTTATTTTAACGTAACAATATCTCATTTATAGACATAAAAAAAGTTAGAGTTAACCCTAATCATCCTAACTATAACTTGCTTGGATTTTCAGCTGGAATTTGAGGATCTCACCTCTACTATAGAATTAAATGAAGAGAAAGCATCTATTATCCTTCGAATCCCTCCAGTATAAAGAATGGGTGTCTGTGGGAGGAGGGCATCCTTTCCTCCCCATCAGGGCATTCTCCAACCAATCTGGCATTTGAGAATGTGGGAATGGACCACCACCACTGGGGCTTCCTCCTCCTTTGCCTTCCCTTTTAGCTATGCCTGGTTGAATGCTCCTGGGGTTTAGGTGATAAGGGAGTCTGCAACTCCAATCCTTCAAATGAAATGAAGGACATTACTATTTGCCCTAAATGCTTATTCATTCATTCCCTGTTCAAGTCTAGAATTGGAAGGGGCCCTAACGGACATCTAGGCCAATCTCCTAACTTTACAGAGAGAGAAAAGGAGACTCCAGGTTACAGAAGCTAGGCAGAGCTGGAACTCCTACTCAGGTCCTCTGATGCTTACTGTAGCATTTTTTTCAAGGGTATAATGGCACTGAGTCAGCACTATATTAAGATGTTTGTCATTCAGGTCAAGTAAGGTCATTGAAGTCCAAAGAGGCTAAGAAACTAAGAAACCATATTGTCTAAGCCCCTTATTTAACAGATGAAGAAACAGAGACCCAGAGAGGGAAATTACATGAAAGCAGGACAAAGACCAGAATAAAGGTCTCTCTGATTCCAAGTCCAGAATTCTTTCTAGTTTATTATGCTATTAGACTGCTGCATAAATCTGGAGAAAAGGGATATTATTATTATGTGATTATTATTTACCATTTTATATCACTGTGAGGTTTGCAAAGCACTTTACAAATAGCATCTCTCTTAAGCCTTATGACAATCCTGGGAAGTAGGTGCTATTTACAGATGAGAAAACAGATACAGACAGGTTGGGACCCGTGCAGGGTCAAACAACCAGTCATTTTGTGGCAAAATCTGAACTTAGATCTTCCTGACTCCAGAGCCAGCACTCTATCCACTCTACCACCTAATTCTTTTTTCAGCCAATGGATTTCCAAAACTTGCTGATACTATTCCTTTTAAAGATTTAAATGACTTTCCCTCCATTAATTCCATTCCTTCCTGATTTCTGGAGAATGAATTGAAATGCTGGCTGTGGAGTCTGTAATTCTACTCCAGAGAAGCCTATATTGTTACTGGGAGGCAACACAGGCATGTGGATGTTTGTGCGTGTTTATGTGGGTACATCTATCTGTATTTTCAGAACAAATGTAGAGAGAATAAATAAAATAAATATAAAGTAACTAAAAAGAAGGTAATTGAAGGGGGCATTACATTGGGGGGGAGGTTCAGGAGAGACTTGGGAGAAGATGATTCGTGGGCTGAGTCTTGAAGTTAAGTGAAAGATTCTATGAGGCTGAGATAAGGAGGGATGTGGGGGGGGGGCAGGTACCCAAAGGCAGGGGATGGAGTGTCATGAAGAACAGAGATAAGACCAGTTTGGCTGGATTGTAGCATATGGGAAGGGGAGTGATGTGGTAGGAGCCTGGGAGGAAAGGTTGGGGACAGGTTGGGATGGGTTTTAAAAGCTAGATAGAGGAATGTATAATTGATCCTAGAGGCAATGCAGAACCTCTACAGCTAACTGAGTAGGGGAGTGGGGTGGGGCAGATATGCACATTAGCAAAATCACTGGCAGCTAAGTGAGAATGGGAGAGAGGATAACTTGAGGCAGGGAGGCCAACCAGGGGTGATAAGATTATCCTAAACTAGGGTAATGGCTACGTGAGTGGAGAGGAGCCCATCTAGGAGGGAAGTGTCAAGTTCAAAAAACCAGGCTTGGTGACTGATTGGATATGCAGGGTAAAGGAGAATGAGGATTCTAAGGTCATCTTAAGGTAGCAAACCCAGGAGACAAGAAGGATTGAGGTACCTTCAAAAGAAATGGGGAAGTCTGGTGGCAAGATAATGAGTCATCTTTGATATAATGAGTTTGAGATTGCTTTGGAACAGGGCTGGGGACCCTGCAGCCTTGAGGTCACACATGGCCCTCTAGGTCCTTGGCGGTGGCTTTTTGACTGAGTCCAAGTTTTATAGAATAAATCCTTTTATTGAAGGGATTTGTTTTATGAAGTTTGGATTCAGTCAAAGGGCCTCACTTTAGGACCTAGATGGCCACATGTGGCCTCAAGGCTACAGGTTCCCTGCCTCTGCTTTGGGATAACCTGAATGTCCAATGCACAGTTGGTGATTGTAGGACTGAAGCTCAGGATATAGACTGGGGCTGGTTGTATACCTCCAGGAGTCATCGGCTCAGAGATGATAATTCAACCCTTGGGAGTTGAGATTACCAAGAAAGTAGAGAAAGGAAAGATAAGAACCTAGGACAGAACCTTGGGCAACAAATACCCACAGTTTGGGGACATGACGTGGATACTGAGTTAGCAAAGGAGATGAGAAGAGTAGTCAGAGAGGTAGGAGGAGATCCAGGAGAGAGCAGCATCGTGAAAACCCAGAGAAAAAAGGGTGTCCAGGGGGAGAAGGAGTTCCAAATGCAGCAGAGAGGCCCAGAAGGCTGAGGCTTGAGACAAGGCCCTTTGACCTCATACCCAGTGCTCTGTCTGCTGTCCCCCAGGCCCCACAGAATGGAGCTGAGCAGCCTACAAAGTGCAGAACCATGTGTGTGTGTGTGTGTGTGTGTGTGTATGAACGAACAAGCCCAAATAGAAAAATTCTGAAATCAAATACTTTTTTCTGGGAAGCTGAATTAAAGGTGATGAAGATAATCCTATGATGGTTTGTGTGCTGGGTTATTGAGAGATAGGGAAAGAAGAGATGGGTAGGCCCTGAGGGCTGGTTTTCAACCAGTGAAAGCTGACACCAAAGCCTGGACTGCTTATCTCTCTGGTCCCCCTGCCCAACAGTGCTAAGTTTTCCAGCTCAATAGATGCTTTTTCTCCTCTATGAGCTGAGAACTATAATGAAAACCAGAGATCCGAACCCAGTAAGGCAAATTTGACCCCCCAGACAACACTGAGGCCTGGAGGGATAAGACTCAGAAATATGACCTTTTTTTAAAAAGAAAAATTAAAATAAAAAACAAAGATAGGTTAAAAATATTGGGGAATAGGGAAGGCAGAATGAGAAGCATTGTATGTTTAAAAGATATGTTCACCTGAGGAAATGCAAGAACCAGAAAGAGTGGATGTGGACAGAGGAAGGAATAATAGTGATATCATCCTTTGAATCTGCTGCAGACCACCAAGACATAAGGAGCAAATGGATGAGTTCTGAAAATAGTTCATAAGCCTAGCTTGTAGAAATGATGTAGAAGTAACATAGGGGCTTCAATTCTTTAGACATCTGCTCTAAGTTCTC